TCCCATACTTTAAACAAAGAAGAGATGCTACCGGAAGATTCGGTTTTTCGGCACTACAGAAGTCTACAGCAGCAATTCGTATGCTCGCATATGGTATTGCGGCTGATGCGGTTGATGAATACCTCCGAATTGCTGAAAGCACGTCGCTGTTATGTTTGGAACATTTTGCAGAAGGAATCATAAATTTGTTCGGGGATGAATATCTAAGAAGACCCACACGAGGTGATCTTATACGACTACTCCATATTGGAAAGCAACGTGGATTTCCCGGGATGATAGGAAGCATCGACTGTATGCATTGGGAGTGGAAAATTTGTCCCACCGCTTGGAAAGGACAATATACACGTGGATCAGGAAAACCAACAATCGTTTTAGAGGCCGTTGCTTCCCAAGATCTCTGGATATGGCACGCATTTTTTGGACCTCCAGGTACCTTAAACGATATCAATATTCTTGATCGCTCACCAGTTTTTGATGATATATTACAAGGTCGAGCTCCGAAAGTGAAATACGTAGTCAACGGGAAAGACTATAATTTGGCTTACTACCTCACAGATGGAATTTATCCTAAATGGGCTACATTTATTCAATCAATTTCAATTCCACAAGGTGATAAAGCTTCTTTATTTGCTACAACTCAAGAAGCTTGTCGTAAAGATGTTGAGCGTGCTTTCGGAGTTTTGCAAGCTCGGTTTGCCATTGTCAAACATCCAGCTCTTTTTCATGATAAGGTGAAAATTGGAAATCTTATGCGAGCATGTATAATACTTCACAATATGATAGTAGAGGACGAACGAGATGGATACACTCAGTTTGATGTATCTGAATTCGTACATCCAGAATCAGCCAGCTCTTCACAAGTGGATTTCCCCTATGCTAGAGATATACCTTCAAATCTCGGTAATATGATGGCCACTAGAGCCCGAGTTCGTGATCGGATTAAACATGAAGAATTGAAAGCTGATTTAGTTGAACATGTATGGCAACATTATTACCAGAATCAATCTTAAAATGTAATCGTTATTTTTTTCCGCTTTTTTATTATGTTTTTTTTCTTCTTCTTTTTATATCATATATGTTTAAAATTTTATAATTCCTAATAATAATCATGTTTGTTCAAATAAAAATATTAACAAAAAAATTTAAAAAATTTATTTTATTTTTTAGAAACCCATTTAAGGATTCCACCAATGGACCATAAATTTTTCAAAAACTCTACAAAATCTCTAAACTACAAAATTATCAAAATTTATTAATAAAAAATACATAGAAACCTTACTTAGAAACTAATCAATGTGGTTGCTCTTACCTTTTTGGAGGATACTAATTGGTGGAATCTGGAATCCAAAGGCAAAAGAATGCTAAAGTTTTTGATTCGCAATTATAACTTTGCTTTAAAAAAAGTTTTACTTGATAAATCTAATTTATCGAATATGTGTGATAATTACTACATTGCAAGCCATAAAAGAGTCAGATTAAAATGTGATTTGCCATCGATCTTATCTATCATCCATTGGTCAGCTGATTCAGCTCATAGCTAAAATTTCATGATAACATTGATTTTAACCTGTAAACAAATTTGATGATTTCAAAAAGCTGATAGATATTTTTTATGCATGTGCATAACTTGTAATAATGACAGTATTATTATAAGGTTGATCATGCAAAAAATATATATATATATTTCACTTATCTTATAAATAATGTGGCAAGTGAACTTTACAGCTAATTCTAAATTAATTATTTTAAAAGAGGTATGTGCTTAAAATTCAAAGGGATCAGAAGCATATGGAAATGTTTGTCACGTTTGATTTTTTTAAAATGTATGTAAAGAAATATAAAAAGTGGCACTAACCAATTGTCTCTTCTTCTTTTTGTCATTTCAGTGTCACCTCACTATTATTACTTTATAAATTGCACCATATTATTAGTTGAACCATAAAAAAAGAAAAATTGATACCATATTATTAGAGCATGGGCAGTGGGGCAAGCAGGTGGGTGTGAGTCTTGGGGGTGTAGGTATTAAAAAAACAAAAAAATTATCTCTCTCTTCACATCCGGGTGTAAGTTTACACTCGGATGTAACACTTTTTCTCTCTATCTCTCTCTTTCTTTCTCTTTCTCTTTTCTCTTTTGCTTTAAATTATAATACTAAAAAAATACTTACATCCACACAAACACATTTGCCACTGCTGATGGTCTTAATCTGCGATGATAATTCTCTGGTTACAAGAATATACATTTACTATCATCTCCTGCTTTTTCTTTAAGTTTTTTTTTTTGAAGTACTGCAATCATCATAATATATAAGTACATTATTACTCGTGAAACTATAAAGCTCAAAGTGATTTTGTTTACGTCGATGAGTATTACGAAAATAAGACGAATCTCTACCTAGCACCACGTTACGATATGACATGATTTTCGCACACACACATTTTCTTGACATACGTACCATGAATCAACTTCATATACTAACTTAGTTCAGTCATATGTCACGGATAAACAATCGGCCATTCTTGAGGTCCCAAGTCATTAATTACATTTCAACTCCATTACATGCTCTATAAATATTATATAAGGATCTATATGAAAACACTTTATAATTTAAAAACGGAATGAGTAAGATTTGGGCCAACACAATAGTCACTAGTAGTCTTGTACATGAATCATAAAAGGTAAAGCCACTATTATCATCTTACATAATTAGACACTTTCGTCTATTATATAGTGTTAGTGATAGCAGGTACGAAGATTAGGGTTTTTTCTTTGGCGATAACCAACAATTAATGATACCTAATTACCTACACTAAATTCTGAAATCTTTGAAGAAAATTGAGCGGCTAATACCAAATGTATACACTATTAACGGCATTTCACGTATCAAATCCATTGATAAATTTAAATTTCTAAATTTTGTAATTGTAGTTTACCTTGGTGTAAGGGCATCATCAATGGGGGATCATGTGAGGGTGTTCTTATAGAGAATATAATGTTAAAATAATGTAAGATCATGTGTTTAGATCTTTTGTTTAAAAGTTGATTAGTGGGAGAACATGTGTAAGATCTTAAGACTTAATAATATAATAATCTAAATTAAATTAAGATTTTACAATTATTAAAACATTTAAAAATAACATATAAATTGCAAATGCCAAATTTATGAAAAACTTAAAATAAAAGTGAAAATACAATACTAAATATTTATGAAAAAACATTAAAAATATAAATAACAATAAACAAACAAACATATTACTTAATAAAAGCACAAAAATATTTTATCTAATTAATACATAGTTTATTATCCAAATTTATTCCAAATATGCTGAATATTCCAACCAATGCCCAAATGCCACGTCACCCCGCAACACCCACAAGAACAGATCCAGGTCAAGAGCCCAGTTCCTGATCTTAAGCCCATTAACCCATTTTTTTGGATTTAAATAATGCTTAGATCAGGGGGGTGATCCCCCAATGCAGATGGTCTAAGGATTCTCTTAGCAACTACGAGGGATGGGACATAACTATGTCGGGGAAAACAATGAAACCCAAGATAAAGACAAAACGGACCCATTCAAAACACAGTGCACTCCTTCTTCTTTCTACGTGTCTCTGTCACATCACAATCATAAATTCCACGTGGCATTTTTCACCCCTAAAACTTACCAATAAAATGTCCGAATTGATATTTATCTGTGCTATATAACTGATAGGTCTATAGCGTAGACACAGTTAGAAAATTGGAGTCTATAATTTTCAGTGCTTATGAGTTGTCACAGACGAAAATTCTTTGGGATAAGAAAGTTTCTAATTAATAGCTTTTCTTTGTCCGGAAATTACGCATAATGTGAGAAACTGAGAATATAAAGCTGATATGAAATGACATTAACTATTGTTTTTCCTCATTTTTTTTACCTTTATGATCCATCAAACATGAATATCCCATGGACGCACAGTAAAATGGAAAATAGTTGTTGTTATGTGATGAAATCGTGATCACACACGCAATGCATGTGTGTATCAAGGAAACAAAAACACTTTTTGTTTGTTTGTGAAAAATAAACGTTATATTTTCACCCGCCACATACTTGTTTTGGAGTATAGTAGTAAAAGAATCATAAACGCAATGGAATTTGCTAATTGGAGGACGCTTTTTGGATGTTTTTCAACGGAGGACCTTTGCGTTTTGGAAATGGCACTAACTTAACGAGTAAACTACTAAATCACAATTTAGTGCAATATGCTAGTATCATAGAGTTCCGTGGGAATCCAGATTAAAGCTAACACTTAGCCCATCAATTAGGCCAGTACCTCCAAAATGTGAACAAACACTAAGATAGCTACAATTTTATTTGTTTGGTCCAAATTTTCTCATAAAAACCTAGACTATATATCTATAAGATCTACAATCATCATTGGAAACAACGTACAACCAAATAAAACCATATAAATGTAAGTTGGGTGTGCCTTATATTTATGAGTGATGAAATCATAAATGCTTTACACAGAGTAGAAATTGCTTCATGAGAAGGGAAAAGAGTTTATAGACAGAGAGATCTCATCAAAATCATTAAAGACTTGAGACTTTGGTATATATTTTGCATGTGGGAGAAAATATTTGTGAGTGAGAGAGAGCTTTCACTTTCTTACCTTCTCATATTAACTCAAAAACAATCATTATCTCCCCACCACATTTATACCTTTGACCTCTCACATGCTTTGTTCTCTTTAATCTGAAATCTGAATCTTTGTTTTCAAATTTCGGTAACATTAAAATTTTCAATATTTACGACGGTTCTTAATAAAGTCAAATACCTAAAACCAGTAGATAAGACGATCGTTCATATCAGTTGCAGATGCGTGACGCTACAGCAAGACATGCAAGAGTATTCACATTATACTTTTTTTTCTTTGCTAAGCATTCACATTATACTTACGTAATAATACATCAAGAATTCACTATCTTCAAGATAATTTAAAGTAATTTTCCCTCAAAAAAACCCAACTGTACATTTTCATTAATACAAATTACAAACTAAATAAAGCCGAATAACCGATTAAAAAAAAGAGCCGAGGAAAATGAAACACACTTAAAAAGAGTTAAACAATACTAAACCGGACCAAAGCACAAAGCAGACTAATTGGGATATAAAATAAGTAATTAACAACCAAATAACTCTTAACGCTAAAAACATTTATGAAAATGACAAATTTACCCCTTATACCGGTACCCTAAATTAACCGCCGGAAATCGGAAAACTCTCATAGATTGAGTAGATCCGGCGGACCTTGAGCACCGGACTTCGGCGAAAGCTCATTATCCGGCGTTGATTCCGTCGTCGTCTGATCCTTCGACGGTGGCAACTTAGGGATCTCAGTGAGAATCTGAACAACTTCTCTCATAGTCGGCCTCTCAACAGCTTGTTCTTCGACACAGAGCATCGCTACATAGAAGACGTGCGTCACTTCATGAATCGGAATCGATGAAAGTCTCGGATCCAATACTTTCAGAACCGAATCCTTGTTCGAATCAGTCATTTTACGAACCCATTGCACAATGTCGACACCGTCACCAAATTCTCCGACGGGTTTTCTTCCGGTGACGAGTTCCAAAAGAACCACACCGAAACTATACACATCGCTCTTCTCATCTACCTTCAACGTATACGCATATTCTACACAAACCACAAAACAGAGCAAAAGATCGTAAAGTTAGAAACTTCAAAAAACAGAGCAAGAGATTGTAAAGTTAGAAACTTTATTGAAGATTTTTGTACCTGGAGCTATGTAGCCGTAAGAGCCAGCGATTGCAGACATACATTCAGAAGTACCGGAATCTTGAAGGAATTTAGCAAGACCAAAGTCAGCAACATGAGCTTCAAAGTTTGAATCGAGGAGGATGTTGTTTGATTTAACATCTCTGTGAACAATCAATGGAGAACAATCGTGATGAAGATAACAGAGTCCTTTAGCAGCTTCAAGAGCAATCTTGTAACGTGTGTCCCAATGCAAGTGTCCTCCTTTCTTACCGTGAAGCACCTCACCGAGACTACCATTAGGCATGTACTCATAGACAAGTAGATTTGTTTCGTGGTTAGAGCAAAAACCGAGAAGCCTCACTATGTGTCTGTGTCGTATCCTTCCTAAGGTTTGAATCTCTGCGTTGAATCCATGATCATGGGAAGATCCACGGGACATTGCAGCGAGTCTTTTGACCGCGACTAGATCACCATTAGGCATTACGCCTTTATAGACAATACCAGCTCCTCCTTTGCCTATAATGTTGTCTTCTTTGAGAGAATCCAAGACATCGTCACATGTGAAGTCTAGTCTCTGGAATGCTGTTAACCTCCAAGCCCGTGACTCGCTCGCCTTTTTCAATGATCTAGCTTTGATTATAGCTACTACCGCGAATGCAATCGAACAAACGAGTAGTCCAAGGACAAGCAATAACTTCATAGAAGCTGATAAAGGTCCTTTACTATGACTCTGGTGAGCTCCTTTAGCAACACCATCTTTACAAGGACCAAGATAAGGACCACAGAGATCAGGATTACCCAAGAACGATGTGTAGTTGAAGTAACTGAATTGTCCAGTGCCCGGAACCAAACCGGAGAGATTGTTGTACGAGAAATCAAGTGATGTTAAGCTCTGCATTGACGAGATCGAACCAGGGATTGATCCAACCAGATTGTTTCTAGACAGATTCAAGTAATTCAATATCTTCATACCAGTGATCTCGTTTGGGATTTCACCGGAGAGCTCGTTTCTGCTCAGATCAACAAAAGTTAAGAGCTTGCAACGGCTGATCTCCGGCGCGATACGACCAGAGAACAAGTTGTGGCTGAAATCAATCTTCGAGAGCTGCTGAAGCTTCCCTACCTCCGAAGGAATAGGACCTTCGAACTTGTTTCCATCAAGGAGAAGTTTCTGAACGCCGGTGAAGTTACCGATCGCCGGAGGTAATGGACCTGAGAGCTGATTGTTTGATAAACTGATCTGACCTAGATTGACGGAGACACCTCCGGCAACCGGTAACTCTCCGGAGAGATAATTATCTTGGAGCTCCACTTGAGTTAATTTGGGTAATCCGAATAGTCCTTTAGGGATTGACCCGTTTAGGAAATTCTCACCCATTCGGATCCGGGTCAAAGACTCACATTTACCAAGAGAATCAGGGATTGAACCAAAGAGGAAGTTTCCAAGAGTGATTAAAGTTTCTAACTTGTTACCGGAGCACATGTTCGGCGGTAAGGTTCCGGTGAGTTTATTGGAAGAGAGATCAACGAGATTGAGTTTACCGTTCTCCCCCAATTTCTGCGGGATGCTTCCGGTGAAATTGTTCTCCCAAAGCTGTAACACTTCAAGCTCCGGCAAGTCTCCGATGAACTCCGGTATCTCACCGTGAAGTTTGTTTCTGAAGAGATTCAAAAGCGTGAGATTCTTCAACTCTGCGAAACTCGCTGGAATCTCTCCGGTGAACATGTTGTTAGACAAATCCATTGATTTCAAACTCGAAAGCGTTCCTAGCTCCCAAGTTAACGGACCGGAGAACACATTCACTTGCAAGAAAAGAGTATCAAGTTTCTGAAGCTTCCCGATCTCCGGCGGAATCTCACCGGTTAATCCGCAATTAGCGCCGTCGAATCGGACTAGCTCCGATAAATTTCCGATCTCTGGAGGAAGACCGTCTTCGAAAGCGTTGTAGTAGCCGATATAAAGCTCCCGGAGAGTCGTTAGGTTTCCGATCTCTGGAGGGATTTTCCCGATGAGCTCGTTGCCGGAAACAGCTAAATACTCAATAACTGGCCAGCTACCGTACGAAGGCGGGATCTTTCCAGCGAAGTAGTTTCCACCGAGATGAAGATGCCGGAGCTGAGTCAGATTGGTGACGGAAACCGGTAAATCTCCGGTTAGATTGTTGTTGTAGACATCAAGAACTCGGAGATTCACTAATCCAGATGAAATCTCATCGGGAAACGAACCGTTGAAGACATTATTGGAGAGATTTAAGTGACGAAGACCGGAAAGGCTCGAGATTTCCGGCGGAATCGGACCGGAGATCTGATTATCAGCGAGGGATAGATTCTGAAGAAGACGTAAATGAGAAACATCTGGAGAAAGAGTACCGGAGAGGTTAAGACCAGAGAGATCAAGAGAAGTCACGTGCCGGCGAGAGACATCGCACGTGACACCAGTCCATGTACAGAAGCTTGTTGAGACTTTCCAGGAGGAGAGAGGCGAGTTTTTGTCATCATCTCCGGCGCCGGTGAGAGAGGTTTTGAGTGAGAGAAGAGCACGGAACTCGGAGATTGGTCGGCTTGTGGTGAAGGTATGAGAAATGTGGAGAAGAAACAGAAGGAGAAGAAAAAGTTTCATTGTTTATCTCTATCTCTCTCTCTCTCTTGTGTGTGAGAGATTAGGGTTGTGAGATGGTGTGAGTGTAGAGAAGGTAAGTGAAGAAGAAGAAGATGAGGAAGGTGTGAATTTGTTTTATATTGGTTTTATTTTTTGGCTTTATTTTTTGAATATTCTTTTATTTGTTTTTGGAATTGAAGATATGTGCCACGTCAGATTTGTGATTTTATTACATTACTCTAATCATAAAACTAAATAGTAATTGGACGTAGATAAACACAAATTACAAATCAATAATTCTAGTGCTGATTTGATAAAACAATGAAGTGATAGATTGCAGAAAAAGGATATGAAAAAAAAAGAAGTAAAAATAGTATTATGGTCTAATTATTTCACTAATAGTCTGATACTAATAGATAAGTCTTTTGAAATTAAAATCAAACAGGCGAAACTATTTTAGAAACAATACAGATTCTAACCATTATACTTTGACGAAATGAATATTGTATTATTTATAACTTTGTACGATGGAGAATATACTATTATTAGGAAAGGTTCATTTATTTTGTTTTGGAGTCATGTTGTTCTTGAAACAATTGAAAGGTGATGTTCTCAAGTCTTGACAAATTTCCTTTATTTTCTCATTTCATACGACTACATGTTTTTATATACATTTTCTAAATAATCCTGTGTTTTTTCTCAATTAAACATCGACATGTTTTATGTTTACCTGTAAATTGGCATTGTAAATAAATAGAGTAATTTTTTTTGACAGCCACAGGATAATTGTTCATCCAACAAAATGAGTCAAAAATACAGAAAAAAGGACATGTCCATATTCTTAAACCTATGGTTTTATCGGAAAACGACAAAAGCTAAAAAGATCGTTATTGGTAATCCCATACGTAATAAGTTAATGATGCTTTAAAGCGAAAAACCCAATAATTAATTTAGATGAACGGTCCAGATGACAATCACTCCAATGGATAGTCAAAAAGTTACTGTGGAACCCACCTTTTAAAAGAGTGGTTTATGATAATTGGGCCGTAAGATTTGGGCCCATGTGTCTGAAAATAAAATAGTGAATTATTATGTTTCTTTTGTACTTGTGCCTTTTTGCATTAACAATGGGGTCGAATTTATTGGATTTGGTCGATATGTAAAAGAAAGAAAGAAAAACGAAGTAGATTGTAGTATTTATACATACTAATTCAGACCATTTAATAAAATTCATCTCTGAAACATAATAATATTTATAAATAATGAGCAATATACAAATATAAAAGTTATGAAAAGCTAGATGAAAGTGTAAAAAGACTTTAATAGAAAAAGAACTTTGATTAAAAAAAAAAAGAGACTGAAAATGATTGATAATTATTAAAAAGTAATAATTTTGCTGGTGGTAGGGAAATTAACCGAAACTTTTGGTCAACTATTGGTTTGACTGGACACATTCTTCACCATGGAACATCTATGTAATTACTTCTGTGCCATTGAGAAAAAACACATGCATAAATAACTCTAAACACTAAACAGTAGGGGTGTCAAAATGGGTAACCCGACCCGACCCGACCCAAACCCATATGGGTTCGAGTGTTTAATGGACGGGTTTGACCCGACCCATATATTTATATGGGTTGAATTTACATACCCAAACCCATTATTGTAGAAATCTATTGGCTTAATGGGTTATATGGGTACCCATATATATGTATAATAAAATATATAAATAATAAAAATCCAAAAAAATAACATAAAATTGTAAAACAACAAAAGTTTTTAAATAATAAATTAAAAAAATCTAGATATTAAAATAGAAAAGCATCCTAAAATCTTAAAACCACAAATCCAAAGAACCATAAAACCAAATAAAAAAGAAAAAATAGTCTTAATTATACATATATTTTACTTTTTATTTTATTTTTAGGTAAAATGTAAACTTTAATAGTTTTTAGATATTTTACATATATAGTTGTAAAGAAAAGAAGATATTTTACATATATTTATATAAATTTACATAATATATTAATATAGATATATATAAATTTTACTTATAGTTTTGGTTATGAAACCCATGGGTAACCCATGACCCTAATGAGTTTTACCCATTAAACCCATAACCCTAATAGGGTAACCCACTAAAACCCATTTATATATATGGGTAAAAAATTTCTACCCAAACCCACTAAAATCATGGGCGGGTTCGGGTAACCCATGGGTATTAACCCATTTTGACACCCCTACTAAACAGCTCTCTGAACTTGAATGGTCTGCTCTTTCAATTGACCGAATCACCCTTCGAGTCCAAACCAGAAATTGTCGGTTTTGGGAAAAATATCAAAATGACGAAAACACCCTCTGGTTCGTCGTCCTTAATGCAACCGTCTAAAGGGAGGAGTCTAGGGGCATGATCGTAGTTGCATATTAGTCCAGCTAACGAGGTTTCTTTGCCAGTTGCTACAGTCCAGTTCACTGTCACTGATCTATCTATAATCATTTCTGCATTCTCGTTTCAACTGTATAAATAATTAAATATTTAAAGCTTCAAATTTCTACTATTTCATGTAAAATGGGTTAATAGATTTTTAGCAAAATATCATATCAAACGACAATAGAATTTTTTCTAAAATAAAATTCGGAAAATTATTGAGCAAAGAAATTATAGAATTATTGACAATTTGATTTGGTAAGCACGTGTGAAGGGAGCTTTATGTAAGAAACTTTAAGAAAGTTGTGGGAAGTAGGTGCTTAAGGAGATTCGTTTATTGATTTTACACTTCTTTCTTACTCTCTTCCCTACTTCCAATCTTTTAAAAAAAATTTAAACTTTGTCTTGAAAATAGAAATTTTAAGTAAATAGAAAAATAGATAGAGATGAAGAATAATGAGATAACATTGGGTTAAGAGTTAAACAGAGAAGAATCCAAAGCCAAAAGCAAAGTTGTTTAACTATAGAATCACGTTGTATCCATTATCAAGCTTTTTTTGTTTTGTTTATTCTCTAACCGCATCGTCTCGTGTTGTGTTCCTTTTTGTCTCCTTAAATGCACATCTCTATAAGGATTCTTAATACCAACACACAATCTTGATTCAAATCTCTTTACTCATCACCAAAAAGATAACTATGATTAGTATTACGTATATCAGTATATGCATGGAATGATTATACCATTTTTGTTTCTTTGGAACCAAGCTTAAACGGAAGAATAATAAAGCTCAACAACCATAGTTGATTTTAGTACATTTAGGAATATGAAAGTTAACTATTATTTTAGGAAAGACTGAAGCACAAAGTTAAGGTTTAGGCAGTGATATGTTTTGCTTCTTTTGAAATCATGTAATAATAGAGAGAACATGTTGCGAAAGCGACGCTTGATGAAGCAAAAAAAAACAAGACAAAGGTCTCAACAAAGTCATCTTTTTTTTTGGTTTGAAATTGGTATTAGAGAAAAGAAAGTTGCTTCAATTTTCTAGTGGTCCATTTGAAAGGTGAAACACGACCCAATAAAAGTGAAAATGGGACCATAAACATGTCATCTTCACATCACCACTCTGTTTCTGAGTCCGACCATCACGGACATAAAACATGGTCCAACTAATTTGATACAGTCAGTCCCCATAACTTATCTCTCTCTACGAGCTACTCAGTTAGTATGTATGATCACTTCTTAAAACACTTCTAATACTTGCAAAAATGTATTTTTGTATTGGAAAAGCAGAGAGAAAACATGTTCTGAACATTATCTATATTACCACTCGCAAGTCACTTTCCGTTTGGAGGATTTACTTAAAACCTAATGGTGTCAGATTGAGATTGTGTCTCTTTTACAACTAAATCTCACTTTCTACATCGACAACTAATGAAAGCTAGAATCAATCAAAAATTAATGAGTTTGCTAGCTACACCTTAATGACTTCCTTAACTTCATCTATTGCTAAACAAACTTTCGTATGCCAAGACTCGAGAGTAAAATGCCTAGTACAGAAACACTATTCCTTCTCCTACATAACAATTTAACTTAGAATCAAAACTTTGGTAAGAAATCGTCAACTTCCTCCGAAGAATTTTAGGTTTAGACGTTTGGTTGAAAATTAGAGTTGTAGTTTGAAATCCTCTTAGACGAAACAGAAGGTTTCATCAAATTTTATTTATTTCGCGGGCCAACCTGCAAGCCCGCTATTTGATGGACATAGGTATTATTGTTCAAGCCCACCTTTTGATGGTGATTATTGGGCCAAGCCCGCGAGTTTGTGGCCCGTTTGATAAAAGAACATCAAAAAAAAAGACGAACCTGGCATCTCAAGCCACTAGGGTTTCATCAGCGCTCTTCGCCTTTTGAATTCGAGAAACTGCAACCAATTCATTTTGAAACCAAAAGGAAGGAGTAAATTTCACAGCTTTGAGAGAGAGAAAGCTATTAAAAGAGCCGTTGAACTCATCATTGATGCTTTCCCTCACAATGAAAGTTTGTAAACGGATTTAGAAGCAGTGGTTCGGGATCTTAATATCTTTTTTTATCTCCTGGAGATATTAAGTCTTATATGTTGATGAATTTGAAGGGGTTTAGCTTATTGTCACAAGAAATTTATGGACTATCTTCTATAATTTTGAAGAAGTATACTGTCTTCTCTGATTTTCTAGCAGAATGTAACTGCTTTAGTCCACAAGAGATAATCTTGGACTATCTTCTATAACAAAAGAAGCAAAACATAAGGACATATGGCATCTTTAGGGAAGCTAAAAAAAATTGGTTGCCATTGGTTTCGGTTGCATATTATGACCCGATTGTATAGTATCGTCTTTGTAGCTAAAGAATGCATGAGAAAGATGAATTGTTAGAGAGGACAAACCAATTGGAGGAAGAAAGTCAGATTGTAACCAAGAAAGGTTTCATTTTTCGGCTAGTCTCTAGTTTTGATGATTCAAAGATATCACTGATACTAGTCTTTTGAATTCTGAAACTTATCTTTTCCATGTTAATAAACATTAACTAAAAGCGTTTTAAAGGGTTGGAGGTGATGATATTGTTGGTTGACTTGGTGGTCCAGATGGTGATTTCCTTGCTGATCGATAAACTGCAACGCCGGGACTGGTAAGGGGAGTGCGGGGGGGCCGGGGGCGATCGAAATATGTCTTCTTAAAGGGAAGACCGCAACAGTCACAGATCCACTCTTTTGCAGGGGAAAGTCGACAATCAACTAGTATGCTCCGAGGATCTACTAAGACAACATTGTAAAAATGTTTCTCATTCAAAGATTTAACAACACTTGCGACCTGCTTGTCTTCTTTGATGTTTTCAGAGAGAATAAACAAATTTGATGGACAAGGACGATGGTTGTGTGCCCAGATAAGAATATACACTGTCATGCGGTGAAGTCTGGCATGTTTATTACCTGGAAATAGTATATCAACAACGAGATAATCACATATATACATGAGAAAATAAAAACAATATATAAGAGAGAAAAAGTAAAAAGGAATTGTCTCACCTTTGGCTACGGGTAAATGAACCATTCCGGAAGACTCATATGCATATAACAGGTTGTCCGGGATATCATCATCAAAGAAGGCCTCGATACTCGTGTCAGAGCGTAGATATCCTCTATCATTAAGATGGGAGAAGGTTTTCTCAACAACCAATTCAGGATCTAGATCCTTAAGGATCGACCAATCCTCCACGTCCCAGAAGATCGTATTTTCATCCCCTGCGTGGTTGGTTTAACATAACGGAGACGCAAGACAAGGAATCAGATCTCGTGATTAGATCCTCCATTAAAATCGATAATTAGGGTTTGCAATCAGATCCAGTATATATGTATACAGATACATGTTGAATGAAAAGAGACAATATAAACAAACAATTTCGATCTTACAGTTTCTAGGAGGGTCAGGCATTGAGACGTCGGATGATGATTCTCAACTTGCCAGATGATAGGCACTTAGGGTTACATGTATCTCTCTATATATATATATATGTATACTAATTAATAAGCATCTTATCAAATAATTGGGCTGGCTGGGCCTAGAAGATATATCAAATAATCGTGGGAGACATCTCGGGTAGGCATATCAATTAGGGCCAAAGTCCGTGGGCTGCTCCGGCCCAGCCCTGAAAAACAGTGGGCTCGGACTTAAAAATATATGTCCAAAAAAAATCGGGCTTTTCGGGCTTAGTCCGGCCGGACTCGGGCCGGCCCGAAAAGCCCTTAAAAAGAGATTTTAACTTTTTTTTTTGTTAATATTATTGTTTAATTAAGAGATTTGTTTAAAGATTTTTTTTAATAGAGTTAAAAACTCTAAACTTAGTTTTCTAATTGTGTCTTACTATAAGTGTTCAGATTTTATATTTTCTTTAATGTGAGTTTAAATAATTTATTTAGATTATTGATTTGATTTTAAACTTTTTTAAAACTAAATTGGCTGTAGTGGGTTATTTAAGTTTCGTTTGACTCGTTTTATACATAGATTTTTTTCTTTTTTAAGAGATATTATAAATTAAAAGGGTTTATTTTTATCGAAAGAAAAGCCCGTAAAAGCCCTGTAGCCCTGTTAGGGCCGGGCCGGGCTTCAAAATCTAGACTCGGAATTTTTACGGGCCGGGCCGGACCGGACTCAAACATATGCGGGTTTTGCGGGCTTCGGGCCGGGCCGGGCTAGCCCGATTGACATGCCTAATCTCGGGACACTCGGAGTTCGTCTTGGCCGTTAATGCCAAAACCAAGCGTAAGCCATTGCAGGTCTGTTCTTTCTCTCTATTCTTTCACAAGCTACTCTGCTTTTTCATTGTTTATATCACATAATACTCTACTATCTACATATTCAAAACTGTTTTGGTTAACTTCGAAACTATATGCTAAAACGTTATACGTGTCCATGCACAAAATTCAAATGTTACGTTTCAAAATGTGAAGATGGTTTTTGTTTTTACTTGTTTCTTCACAACTTGATCAGTTTGTTTCGTTATACATAGCAAACACAATTGGTTGAAACTAGAAACTGATTACTGCTGAATTTACAAATTACAACATGATTTCTGGATAATAATATTTTCGGGATGTTATATATTACAAATCATATGAATTCGACAACAAGCAACCTCAAATCGAAATGAACTGAACATTGTAAAGGTCAAGTCTTTGAGACAAAGTCACTTTTATTGTCGAGTGTGCCAATGAGCTAATAAACATTAGCTAAATTAAGAATGATAGGCAGAGATCTTTTTGAGCCAAGACTGGAATTGGGTAATGTCAATAAAGAAACAAAATTGATTGCTTCGTTACAATGGAATTGGGTCAGAATGATTTCTATGATAGTCAACACTAACCCGAAAGACTATAAATTTTCAGGCGGAAAACATGTCGAAGAAGTGGCATATATATTGAGAACTATCAAAGAGAAACCAATCTTGAAGGAGCATTCAAAAATTCTGGGACCTAAATCTTAGAAGGCTAGACTTTGGATAAACGTGTTATTATATGGATAGAGAAAACCAAAAACGAATATATATATATATATATATATATATATATATATATATATGTATGTGTGTAAGATGTCATAAGATCTTAGGTGAAATATCAGATTGTGCTGTACGACTATAAGAACTAAGAAGTTTTAATGTTGTTGTACTAGTGATGTATTGAGTGATTAAGCTTTGTATAGATAAAATTCAATGTTTGTCTTGTTTTAGTTTAATATAAGCAAAATATATTTTTCACAGATTTGCAAGATGGGAAATTAAGTAGGGAAACATAATCCAGAATGAGCTAATAAACATTAGCTAATTAGGGTTGGAGGTACTTGCTGATTCAATTGGTGGTTGTCTTGCTGATCCATAAAGTACACCGCGGGTAAGGTGGTGGCGGCCGCGGGAGGGGACTTCAATATCCAAATATGCCTTCTTAAAGGGATCTCCGCAACAGTCACAGATCCACTTTTTTGTAGGGGAACGTCCACAATCAACTAGTAGGATCCGAGGATCTAGTAAGACAACATTGTAAAGATCTTTCTCATTCAAAGATCTAACAACACTTGCGACCTGCTTGTCTTCTTTGATATTTTCTGATAGAATAAACAAATTTGAGGGACAAGGACGCTGGTACTGTGCCCAAAGAAGAATATGCACTGTCATGTGGTGAACTCTCGCATCTTTATTTCCTAGAAATAGTATATCAACAACGAGATTACATATTTACATGTGAAAATAAATACAATTAAGAAAGAAAAAAAGTAAAAGGAATTGTCTCACCTTTGGGTACGAGAAAAGAGACGATTCCGGGAGCCGTAGATGCATATAACAGGTTTTCCGGGATATCATCATCAAAGAAGGCCTGGATACTCGTTTCAAAGCCTACATATCCTCTATCATAGAGATCGGTTTTGATTTTCTCAACAACCAATTCAGGATCTAGATCCTTAAGGATCGACCAATCCTCCACGTCCCAGAAGATCGTAGTATCATCCCCTGCGTACGTGGTTTAACAAAACGGAGACGCAAGACAAGGAATCAGATCTCGTGATTAGATCCTCCATTAAAATGGAAAATTAGTTTACGATCAGATCCTACATAGATATATATATGTTGAATGAATATAAACAAACAATTTCGATCTTACGGTTTTCTCTAGGGTTAGGCATTGAGGCGCCGGATGATGATTCTCAACTTGCCCGATGATAGGCACTTAGGGTTACATTTAACTCTCTATATATCCCTTATATTATTAAGCACAAATCACTTAGAACAATCAAATGTGGACATGTAGAAAATAAATCAAATTTAAAAAACATTTATAAAAGAAAAAAAAGAAGTAAACGTCTTCTATATTTTGTTCTATTTTCTATTGTCAGTTTAAACTCTTCATTTAACACTATGATCAAAATAACTTCTCCACAACTCCATTTCCATATTTTATACAATAATTACCCCTTTTCACCAAAAATAATCCAATTCTATGTAATAAAATCAACACAAATTTATGCTAAACAATAAAAAAAATCCAAATTTTATAATCCTTTATCTTATAAAGCACAAGTTACTTTACCAATAATACTATGACATGTGTCAATTCAAAAATCATTTAAAAAGTAAATAAATTAAGTTTCTGTAAAAATGTGATGAGATTTCATTATCTTAAAAAAATTATATATTTCTCTTCTAGCTCAGAAACACATCTATTTCTATTTTTAATCTAAGAAATGAACAACATTGGAGATTTAAACTTAGCATGATAATTGTATAATAATTTTGTTTTCCCGTACGGGACTGCATAGTGCATACTAGTAATTACAATAAAGCCAGAGAGCATCTTATTGGGCTGGCTGGGCCTAGAAGATATATCAAATAATCGTGGGAGACATCTGGGCTGTTAACCTTTTGAGAAATATAAATTACAATGTTTTCTTAGCACAGCCTCAAGACGCATCAGGATAGCTACAAAATGGCGGCTTTGGTCAAGCTTCTTAGCTGGAGGACCGCCCTTATCTGGGGTCTCCAACTTCTGTGTAAGTAGGAATACAAGTGCGGTTACAATCTTTATGCCTAAGATCGATCGAGTTTACAATTTCTACATCACTACATTGACATTGTTTGTTTTAAGGGGTTAAAGATGATATTGTTGGTTGCCTTGCTGATCCAAAAACAAGTTTAAAGATAGGAAACAAAGTAGGCAAACATAATCCAGAATGAACTAATCGTAATCATTAGCTATTAATTAATAAACATTCTGGAAAATAGTCATATGTTCGAGTTGATGATATTGTTGGTTGCGTTGGTGGTTGCCTTGCTGATCCATCAGCAACTGCACGGCGGACACTGCGGCTGGGGTTGTTCTTTAGGGGAGTTCCGCAGTAGGGACAGGTTATATACTCTTCTGGAGTTCTCTGGAAAGGGGAACCACGACAATCAACTAGTAGGGTCCTAGAATCTACAAATACAACATTGAAAAAATCTTTCTTATTCAAAGCTTCAACAACACTTGCGACCTGCTCGTCTAGGTTTTCTGAGAGAATAAACAAATTTGATGGACGAGTACGATTGAACTGTGTCCAGTAGTGATGAATATGCATTGTCATGGTGCTAACTCTCGCATGTTTATTTCCTGGAAATAGTAAGTATATATATCAACGACTTGTGAAAATAAAAACAATAACAAGAGAAAAGAGTGTAAAAGAAATTATCTCACCTTTGGGTACGGGAACCTTCGAGATTCCGTGAAAGGCATATACCAAGTTTCTCGCAGATAATATGATCAAATAAGTCCAGTTGATTTTCTGTATTATTACCTCTCGCAAGTCATTTTCCATTTGCAATGTATCGAGTTTGTGTCTCTTTTACAACTGTATCACACTTTCTACATCACTAAACAACTGATGAAAGATAGAATCAATCAAAACAGAACTACATTAGCAAGAACAGGATGATACTGCATTGGATCACTGATGAATGTACCTCTCTCTGTAGGATGGGTTCTAAAAGAGAGTTTTACTGTTGTTGTTTATTCTTTCTTCTGTGTCCAAATCCTTATTGATTTGTCGAGTGAGCCTGATGCAATCACGTTGTCGGTTGGGTGGGATGTCACTGTCGTGACGGTTTCGGTGTGACCTTCTAGTTTCTGAAGCATTTTCTTGGAATTTAACTCCCACATGTAAACACAGTTGTCTTCGGATCCGCTAATGATCCGCTTCCCGTTCGAGAAAGAGAATGCAGAGGAAATGCAGTACTGGGAGTTTGTGTGTCCGGTGTATGTCTTGATGAATTTAGCTGTAGAAATGTTCCACAACCTCTGTATATTGAATACCGCAAAGATTAGCGAATGATCATACAAATTTAGAGATTGACAATGGCATACGACGAAATAAAAGAAAGCAACAAACACAATTTCTAACAATCTGAGCTTCAATCCATCTCAAATAACATCTTAAGTTAAGCAAAACTATAACACAACACTATCGACCCAAAATGAAACTAGAGAGACGATTGATGGTTCTACTATTCATTAACTCCATCAAAAGCTAACAAAATTTCCTATGTCAAGAGTAAATTCCTAGATCAGAAACACAATGCCTTCCTTATATCGTTTTGATTCAATTCTCCTACATATGAATTCGACAACAAGCAACCTCGAATCGAAATTAACTTAACATTGTAAAGGTCAAGTCTTTGAGACTCACTCACCAGCTTATTGTCGAGTGTGCCAATGAGGATGAATTTGCCATTGGGAGAGAACTTAACGAAGGAAACAGGAGGATTCTCATCGTCAATTAAGGTCTTCACACAATGCCCAGTTCCAGAATCCCAAATCCGACACAACCCATCGTAGCTACTTGAAACAATCAGAGACCCGTCACGATTGAAATCAACACAAGTCACAGGATCAGAATGCGCAGGAAGAACTTTCAAGCATTTGCCAGATTTAACATCCCAAATCCGAACAGTCTCATCGAAAGAACCAGACACAATCATGTTGGGTTGAGGATTGAAGTTAGCACAAAACACGTAATTAGAGTGTCCGATTAGCGTTTTGATCAGAGAACCAGTTTCAACGTCCCATAGCTTAAGGGTTTTGTCATCGGAAGCTGAGACGATGAACCTCGCGTCGGAGGAGAAGGCTATATCCGATACGCCGTTGTCGTGGCCGGGAAATTCGCGAACCGGTTTGGCGATGGAAGCTTCTTGAGCAATGTCGATTGCGTAAGTGCGGATTGTCTTATCTGCGGAGGCGGAGGCTAAGAGACGGCCGTCGGAGGAGAATTTGACGGAGGAGACGGCATGGGAGTGGAAATTTAGGGTTTGGGAGTGAATGTAAGGTATAAAGCATCCACCTTTAACTTCCTCTGCCATGAGTATCCGAAAAAAGGTTTGATCTTTTGCTCGGAATTCAAATCGTGATGTTATGAGGATTGGGTCGGCGACGTTGGGTTTTTGGAAAGGGTTCTGTTTTGCTGGTTTAGTATACTACAAAATTTTGGGGTGAGTTTTGAAAGTAACAACAATATTGGGGTATATTTCGAAATAAAAATAATATAGGGGTTACTTCCGCGTTTCCATATAATTTCGGTGGCTTATATATGTCTTTTTAGAAGTTTTAGGGTGAGATTTGAAAGTAATGATAGTATATGGGTTGAATGCTAATAATTCTGGGGCTTTTTCGAGTTTCTATTTATTAAAGGTCCATTATTATTACCGGCTGTTTTCTATTTTGTCGTTCCCGGCAAATTTGGCTGAATTTTGGCGGCGACGATTCGAACTTTGCCAAACGATGCAAGCAACGGCGAATCTTCCGGCGATATGGAACCTATCGCTGTGCGGGTCATCCTCTAAAGTCCATACAGTGAACCCTAAGCATCGAAAGTCTCACGCGCTTCACTGTTTGAGGTTGATTTCGAGTTTCGTCTCTTCAGGTTGATAGTAATATGGATGTAGTAGAATTTTACATGAAGTCATTGCTTATCTAGAGTGAACCTTTTTCAATTTTTCTGGCTTTGTGTAGAAATTTGTGCTGCAAAAATTGATTTTGATTCCCTCTAATTGAACTGGATTCTTTTTGGATTCCAGATCAGAAGGGCATGAAGAGTTTGATAAGTCTCAGTCTCAGGTAACTCTTCTTTGGTTTGAAGTATGCTTTATCTTCGCCGAATTTTCTAGCAGAAGGTAACTGGTTTAGTTCACAGGAAAATCTTGGACTATCTTCTATTACAAAAGAAGCAAAACATAAGGACATATGGAACCTCTTTAGAGAAGCTCAAAAAGTAAAAATATTTGGTCGCCATTGGTTTCAGTTTCATGTTCTGAAAGTTACTCACCCGATTGTATTGTATCGTCTTTGTTGTTTAGATATCCTTATTTTAAACAAGCAACGCCTAGCTGCAGTTGAGGAGTTAGAGAAGCTAAAGAATGAGAAAGATGAATTACTAGAGAGGATTAACCAATTGGAGGCAGAAAGTCAGATTGTAATTAAGAAAGGTTTCATTTTTCGGCTAGTCTCTAGTTTTGATGATTGAAAGATGTTCAAGTGAGTATTGTGATACTAGTCTTTTGAATCCTGAATCTGATCTTTTACCATGTTATAAGCAGATAAGTCGTCACTATTCTGGCAGTTGCTTCTCCGTATTGATTCTATGGTGATCAATGGATTAATCAACAGTGAAGAAGCTTCATCCATGAGACAACTGTATAAGGAGCATGAAGCAAACATCTCTGAGTTTCCTCTCGATGTCCTGCAACAAGGAGATGCTGAAATTCTAGCAGAACTCAGACGGTTCACAAATAAAGGCAAAAGGTGAAAATTCTAGTGTTCTTTATCTTCAAGCTTAATTCGGATTTTTGAATTGATGTTTTGACTTGTACCTGTCATTTGATTCCAGGAATGGTCTCCATGTGATTCATATTTGCACCGAAATGGCTCCATTAGTTTCTGTTGGGCCTTTGGCTTCATATATAACAGGATTGTCTTCTGCACTCCAAGGAGAGGGCTACATGGTTGAAGTTATATTGCCAAAGTAGGAGGCAAATCCTTTAGAAAAATATATACTTTATATTATCACCAACTTCAGTTGTGAAGCAGAATCCTATTAATGAAAACCGTATTCATAGATATTCGACACTTGATTTGGATGAAATTGAAGGGCTTCGGGAAATCGAAGCTGATGCATATTCTTATTTCAATGGTCAGCTGCATGCAAACCGAATATGGAATGGGTGAGTGAGTGAGTTGTTGGAAGTTATTCTTCTTATACAGTTGATTTCTATCAGTGTTGGTAAGAGAAGAATCAGCAAAATACTGTGAAGCATTCCATTTTCTTTCTTAATTTATAATAAGCAGAACCTTGTTTATGCAGAGTTGTCTCTGGAATAGGAGTGACACTTATTCAACCAGTGTATTACTCGTCAATGTTTAGCCGTGATAAAGTATACGGCTATCAGGACGATTTTGATAGGTCAGTACTTCCATTTGATATAGTTGAGCTTGAATCTACATGTTTTTAGACTGGTATTATTTATATGTAACGTTTTTTTTTTTGGTATCTGTTAACAAAATCAGATTTGCCTACTTCTCTCGTGCTTCATTGGATTACATTGCAAAATCTGGAAAGCAGCCTGATGTTTTACACATTCACAACTGGCAAACTGCAATAGTTGGACCATTGTTTTGGGATGTTTTTGTTAATCAGGTAAGAAACTCTTCAAACTTTCAGCATTCGTTATCCATCATGCCGTAGTTTTCTTATTGCCATCTCTTTGCGAATTTTGTAGGGACTTGAAGGTACTAGAATACTCTTGACATGCCAAGACTTTGACAAGGCAAGCCACTTTGCTTTTCCCTTTATACTTATACACTCTACATTGGCAAAATTGATTAACAGCTGCTTGTGCTTATTAGGGTCTTGTACCTCCTGAAAAATTGGAGCTATGTGGGCTCGATCCAGCTGAGCTTCACCGTCTTGATCGCTTACAAGATAACATTAATCCACATTTTGTTAACATTTTGAAGGTAACTGGAAGGCAAAAATACAGAAGACTCATTATCTCCAAGTTACATTCTTGTTCTCACGTTTCTTTTACTTAGGGTGGTGTGGTCTACTCCAACAAAGTCGTAATAATGTCATCCTCACATAGCTCAATCCCTGGTCTCGAACCAACTTTAGCTATCCACAAGTAAGTTACTGACACTTCAAGTTATCTCAATACATCAATCACGGTACAATAATTGAACTCTCTTCTCTTAAAATCTAGGGACAAGTTGTTTTTTGCTCCCTTTGGAGTGGACAACTCAATGGAGAAAGACTTTTGTTGTGACCTTCACGTCTCTGCATATACTTCCATTAAGAACCTATGAGAAAGTACAATGATGATGAACAGGATGATTATTTATGATATTTTCACACAAATTAATAAATAAAAAAAAACTATTGTGTCCATGTGTTTAGTGAGATTAGTTGTATAATTGTTTGATTTTCCAACTAACAATTTGGACTCCTGAATTAATTAAAAATAGATTTTATGTTGTTAAGAAAAAAGGAAATTACACCTTTTTTTTTTTGTTTTTGGTCAAAGGAAAGATTATTGTACATCTTTTTCCCATATTTCTGTTGATTAAAAAAGGAAAATAAGAAACCGAACTAGAAGAAGATATTGTTTTGATTTTTGTTTTAATTAAAATTCGGATAAATCTAAATAACAGTTCGACGTTCGTTGCATAAGTAAGAGAATATACCCAAATCAAAACAGGAATCGGATTCAGAGCTCTCTCTCTCTGTATATATAAAAAAATTTGTTCCTTTTTAGTAAAGAAAGACAGAGTGTTGAAATTGAATCTGACAGCGAAAGAGATAATGACGAAAGTTGGCCAGAGAGATTCTCCGGCTAAAGAAGAACCTTCGACGACGACGCCGCCGGCGACTAAAAAACGATTTTTGACTCCGGGAAGGTAAAAAAAATCAGCACTTTTGTTTATTTCTTTGGTGGGTTTTTGAAGTTGATGACGATTGTGATCTCTCTCTCTCTCTCTGGTTTGTGAAAACGATTTAAGCGTGGTTGTGTGAGAAAACAAAATCTAAGAATTGGGTGAATTTAGATTTCCAAAAAGTAAGGCAAAGATTTCGTGATATGAAAACTTTTAGGGTTGTGTCATGTTTAGATAAGTAGCTAAAGACAAAACTGATTTGCCCTAGCTTTGTGGGTTTTGATTCTAACTCTTGAGGGCTTTTTATTTTGTAGATTCGTTACAATCCTGTGTATCATTAACTTGATAAATTACGTTGATCGAGGAGTGATCGCGAGTAATGGTGTTAATGGAAGCTCAAAAACATGCGATGCCAAAGGGGTTTGCTCTGCAGGAACTGGAATTCAGTAAGTTTTTTTTGTTCTGAATTCTGATATTTAGAATGATTATGTTTTGAGTTTTTATGAGAAAGACTTAGACTTTGTGTGTTTGTTGATGCAGGGGAGAGTTTAACTTAACTAACTTTGAAGATGGTCTTTTGTCGTCTGCGTTTATGGTTGGACTTCTTGTGGCTTCTCCAATATTCGCTGGATTGTCCAAAAGGTTTAATTTTTATTAACAGAATCATGAATTTGTGTTCTTTTGTTTTTTGGTGTATTCTTAAGATTCATTGTTTTGATTATCTCTGTCTTTATATAATTGCTTGCAGAATCAATCCTTTTAAGCTAATAGGTGTTGGATTAACCGTTTGGACTATCGCTGCTCTTGGTTGCGGGTTTTCCTACAACTTCTGGATGATTGCTGTTTTTCGAATGTGAGTAATTTATTTACAATTCCATGTGTTTGCCTTTTTTCAATCCGGTTTCTGTATAATAACTAACAGTCTCTTCTTTATAACTTGCCTATAGGTTTGTTGGGGTTGGTGAGGCTTCCTTTATTAGTCTTGCAGCACCATATATCGATGATAGTGCTCCTGTTGCAAGGGTTAGTTTTCAATTAGGTTACTGAAACTGTTACGGTTTTTCGCTAGTTTACTCGCTCAACTAATTGTTTTTTTGTCTTTCTTTCCAGAAAAATTTCTGGCTTGGACTGTTCTACATGTGTATACCAGCAGGAGTTGCTCTAGGCTATGTGTTTGGTGGATTCGTAAGTTTATGCTAGACTCTTTTTATGGGTACAAGTTTTCCTGCTTCTGAGGAAATATTTGTTTTATATTTTATTTGCTTTTCCTGTTCAGATTGGAAACCATTTAGGATGGCGTTGGGCGTTTTACATAGAGGCAATCGCAATGGCTGTCTTCGTCGTTTTGTCCTTCTGTATCAAACCACCGCAGCAGCTTAAAGGTGATACTAGATGCTTTTTAATCTTCATTGCATATTCCGTTCTGGAAGTTGTGCCAATTTTTGACTAAAATGTTCCTCTTCTTTGTGTATAGGTTTTGCTGATAAAGATTCGAAGAAACCCTCTACATCTAGTGAAACGGTCGCTCCTACAGATGCAGAAGCTTCACAAATTAAAACCAAAGCCCCCAAGTGAGTTTCGCTATCCTCTCTTCATTGTTCCTGTCTATGCAAAAGACAACTATATATACTAATATTCTACTTTTTTGTGCAGATCCAAGAACCTGGTTGTCCTATTCGGAAAAGACTTAAAGGCTCTTTTCAGCGAGAAAGTATTTATCGTAAATGTTCTTGGTTACATCACCTACAACTTTGTGATTGGAGCTTACTCATATTGGGGACCAAAAGCCGGTTTTGGTATCTACAAAATGAAAAATGCAGACATGATTTTTGGAGGACTTACAATCATCTGCGGAATAATCGGAACATTAGGTGGAAGCTATGTGCTTGATCGCATAAACGCCACTCTTTCAAACACTTCAAGGTAATAAAGAATTCACTAAACATTTTTTACTTACCATGAATGCTCCCTTTTTTCTGATTACCTCTTAATTGATCTTATACAGTTACTAGCTGCATCAACTTTACTCGGCGCAGCCTTTTGTTTCACTGCTTTCTTGATGAAGAATATGTATGCCTTCATCGGTTTATTCGCAGTGGGAGAAATTCTAATCTTTGCACCACAGGTAATATATCAAATCTCAAGAGTTTTGAGAAAAATTTAATCCCCGTTTCTTTTTTTCGACTTGTTTAATCCGAATGACATTGTGCTTTCTTGTGCAGGCTCCAGTTAACTTTGTGTGTCTCCATTGCGTTAGACCAAACTTGAGACCATTATCAATGGCTTCTTCAACTGTTTTGATCCATATCTTAGGCGATGTTCCTTCTTCTCCACTTTACGGGAAAATGCAGGTTGTATTATCATTAATGACATAAAAACAAATTAGTTTTACTTTTTAGGATTAGATTTCTATTAACTATCTCAATGTTTTTGCAGGATCATCTCAAAAATTGGAGAACATCAACTCTTATCATTACTTCAATCCTCTTCGTCGCAGCTATTATATGGGGAATTGGTAAGGACTCAATATTTTTATTTTTTCATTCATCTCATAATCTTTCTGTATAGCTTAGTAAATTTGTTTGTTTGTAGGTATATTTATGAATAGTGTGGATCGGTCTAATGAAGTAAGTGAAGATGATGAGGTCGAAGAAGAGAAATTGGAAAGCAAAGCAGAGAACTCTACTCTCGTCTAATTTTTGAAGACAATCATTTTTCTTCTACACGACCAAATAATTCTTAGTCCTTCCATTGTTTAATTGAACAACAACAATTCATTTGATTCATTTTCTTTTCCTTAGATTATCTCAGTTCCTTTTGTGTACATAAACCTAATTTTTTGGAAATAAATTTTCCTCTTTTTTCCTTCAGTCTTTTCTGATTTAATAGAGGTCTTGTATGTTGATTGGTGGAAACTTTCTCTCTGTTTTTGTTAATAGTTAAATGCTTTGACTAGCTAACAAGTTCAAATATCTCCATACTTCAACATTCATGGAAGAAAGAAATAAAAAGAATTGTTCTCATTTCAATTGTAAATAATAGGACAGATACATCAAAGTGACACCAAACAATTGGTGTTTTTTTTGACATTATTCATTTAATTTTAGATTACCGTTCTTACTGAAGTTTCTCATTTAAAATGGGAAATTGGGAAGAAGAAGAAAGAAAAAATAGTAGTCTTATTTTGGTTCGAAAAAATGTTTGTTTTTCATCATCATCTTCAATCACTCAGAAGTTAGGACCAGCTGCAGAATCTCTTCAGTCAATTTTCCATCATCACCAATCTTATGACTTGTGAATGTCTCAAAATTGCTTTTAAACAAACCAGCCAATTTCAACAATGTGTCCTCATAAGCCATTTTGTCTTCCCACTGCACCAAAACACACATAAACCAAACATGTCAAGTTTTTTTTTTTAAATGGATTATTCTATTTAGTAAATGTTTCTCTAACTTACGGCATTAATAGGTTCCAGTATTTCTGAAGGAACTCCTTCAACTTCATTTGGAATCTCCAAACCAAAAAATATCTGTTTTTCGGTAAGTTGCATTCAAGAGACTACCCGAATGTATTGCATCGATAATCTTTCGTGTATACGCCAACTTGATTCGGCTTCCAGATCCATAGCTGCAAATTTTATCACCAATCTTGTTAAAAACCTCAATCTTTTTCTGTTTTGTTTTGTGGTTATGATTAAGATTCAGAAGATGGTTACCTTCCACCAGACCATCCGGTGTTAACAAGCCAACCGGTGGCTCCTTGAGCCTGCATTTTCTCAGCCAACATAGCAGCGTACTTGGTTGGGTGAAGCATAATGAAAGCAGCACCAAAACAAGCTGAGAATGTCGCTCGAGGCTCCTTAACTCCTTCCTCTGTTCCTGCAACCTGCAAAACCACATTATTCATTACGAGTCGATGACAAAAGAACCAAACTGAACCAAAACAAACCAAATCGGGACTTACGAGAGCAGTGTAGCCACTGATGAAATGATACATAGTTTGAGCAAGATTGAGCTTGCTGATTGGCGGCAACACACCAAAGGCATCACAAGCCAACAGGATCACGTTCTTCGGGTGTGGTCCAACGCACGGTATCTTCGAGTTCGGAATGTACTCATCGGATAAGCTGCACGTGTGTTCTCCGTCACCGATTTGTCTGTGTAATCCACTTCTCGTGTATGCTCATCAAACACAACATTCTCCAAAACTGTCCCCAAAACCAAAACAAAAAATGTTACGAAATGTAAAATCTATTTTCGAAAAAATATTTGTAAAAAAAGAGTTTTGTATTAAATTACCGGTTCCAAACTTGATAGCGTTCCAGATATCAGGCTCTTTCTCTCTTGCCAAATCAATGCATTTCGCGTAACAACCACCTTCGATATTCGAAACTCCAGTCTCACTCCAACAATGTTCATCATCTCCGATCAAATATCGGTTATGATCAGTCGACAATGTAGTCTTTCCGGTTCCAGAAAGTCCGAAAAAGAGAGCAACATCTCCATCTTTTCCCATGTTACAACCAGAGTGAAGTGACAAAATCTTTCTCTTAGGCATCAAATAATGCATCACACCAAATAGTCCTTTCTTCATTTCTCCAGCATATTGTGTACCTAGAATCACCATCTCTCTTCTTCCTAGGTTTATGTCCACACTCGTCGACGATGTCATGTAATGAGTGAAACGGTTACACGGGAATTTCCCCGCGTTATAAATCGTGAAATCGGGTGTCCCGAAATTCTCTAACTCCTCAGGTGTTGGACGGATACACATGTTGTGCATGAATAGTGAGTGGTAAGCTCTTGCTGAAACAATTCTCACTTTGATTCTGTTCTCTGGATCCCAGTTTAGGTATTGATCATTCACAAACACCTGACGATATAAATTATAAAAAGTATAGTCTATAAAATTCCACTACAATCTCATTTTGAATATTGTCTATGTCAGTTACCTTGTCCAAGGAGTTTAAGTAATCAACAGCTCTCTCTCGGTTCACCAAAAAAGTTTGCTCATCCATTTCAATGTTTGGTGATCCTCTGTAACAAAAATATAAATTATTTTTAAGAATTTAAAAAATAGAAAAACAAATACTAAATGGATATCACATTTGATGATGTGTTTTCATATATAATTCGGTTTATTTTCATTTGTTGACATGTCACATATATATGTATGTAAATGTGTAGATAGAAAGTGACTCACTTCCCCCACCAGAGCTCGGCCTCAGTGGTCTCATCCTTAACCACACGCTTGTCTTTAGGAGACCGACCGGTTTTGGCTCCGGACAATGTAGCCAACGCACCGGTCGATGTCACAACGATCCTTTCTCATACTTTATCGCCTGCTCGTACAACTCTGCAATCATATAAAATTCGAAAGGTGATGACAAAACATGTACACAAAATCAAATTAGGCCCTTGATTTAAAACGGTGACGTTTAGGGGGTTGTTACCGGCGGGAGAGAGGTTGTGAAGGATGTGAGTGAACTTCAAGCCACTGTCGCTGACGTCAGCAGTCGGAAGTGACGTAGGAGTCACTGGCACGTGTGCCACGTTCGCTGCCGACGTTGGATCTCCTCTTATTAACTTCGGTCCCGTCTCTCTCGTCAACGAAGCCAACGATGCACTGTCCAATATTTTCACCAAATTATACATTCGTATCATTGTTTTCTCAGAATTCAACCCTTTTTTTTTTGCTACGATTGGTAAAACATATAAAACTAAACAAAATTCAATCATACGGTTATTAGAAATTAGAAGCCACTTCTTACCAAAAAAAAAAGAAATTAGAAGCCACTATATATATGTCATTACGCGATTTCACATGTTTAATCATATATCAAATCAAGGTCTTTTGCTTAAATCACGATTCCTTATAATTTTGTAATTTGTAAAATTAGTAAACATAGATTTTTACATTCCCCATATGTTAAAAATAATATTGGACCTTGAGCTATATTAATAACAAATGTATAATTGTATCTACCTGACGGATTGAAGCATGGTCTCGCTGGAGACAGGAGTGGTCGGACCACTAGTTCCGCTGACTCCGCTGGCACTGCCATCTCTAAGAGGAGTGGTCGGGGCAGATCGTTTCTTCTGGAGACTGTGAAGCTCGTCGATGGTCTGAAAGTTGACCCGCGGTGCGGTGTCGTCGTGGCACACGTCTGTAGATTTGCCGCCCTTCTCTGTCGTGATCCTCGGAAGCGCATCACGCGCCGCAGCAGCCCGAGAAACTGAAGTCTCCACCGGTATTTTCGTTTCCCTTTCCCGCCATTTCCACTAACTTGGGATTAAGATCAAACTACACAATTAACACAAACACACGTATAAATAAATATATACACTTAGATTTAAAGAGAGGTATGATTGAAGAACAATGTTAGTACTGAAATGTCGTCTTTCTTCTTTTGTTTTTGTGGAAGATTAAGAATATATAATACAAAAAAAAACAAAACCAAAATTGTCTGAAGGAGAGACTAATGGTGGTGATGAGAAGAAAGATGGAGAATAAGCCGATTATATAGGCTTCCTTTTGACTCAGTAATTACTCGTTTAATTAGCCTCCCTAATCGTGTGTTTGCCTATAATTAAATAGTGACTACCACGTAGAGTAACTCATATAGCAATGTAGGTAATATTTTCTAGATAAAATATTAAATCCACTATGATAATTAGATGACTAGACATTACGTTGATTTAGATACATTTGCAAATCTTATTAAGCATACTAATTAGGAAATTGCACATGGGTGTGGATCACTTGTATAATACATGTTGTTATCCGATCACCGATGGATGAGAGAATATGTGTATTCATGTCTTCACGTTTGCAATTAGGGAAACGATTCCAATAACATTCAACTAATACAATCTGGTAATAGTTTTAAAATATGGTTGGATTTCAAGTGTATAATAAGAAACCATGTGTCGTTTCCAAAATCTTATCGTACAGCGTAGAACATATTTTTGAAAGCACGTTTTTTTCCTAATCAAATTTGCGAACAGTTGTTTGACTTAGGTTATTATTGTTTTTGTCATACAAACAAATTGTTTCTTTATTGACTGGGTTAGTTAAAGAGAAACTAGATTAAAGACTTTCAACATCATTATATAACTGTAAGAAAATTTAAATTTAAAATAGATATTTTCTTAAAAAATAGTCCACCGCCAACGAAAAACAAATGGATTAACGGAGTTTGATTGGTTATCACGATAATGTATTATTTTGTATGGATGACATATACTTTGTATTTGATGTAAGTATGTATACTATACGTTGATGTATTGCAAGGCACAAAGTCATCAATGAAACAATGTTAGAATAGTTTTAAACTTGAAAGATAATCCAACGTGGGCTGTATTAAATGGAAGTTACTTGAAAATTGGATAAAATTTAATTATAATAAACACTTTTACTTTTGACCAGAAAAAATTAACACATTTACAAAGCCAAGTGTCAGTATACTGATCTGGACCGTTGATTTTCAATGTTGACAGCTTTTAGCACATCACAACCACGTCAGATGGGCTTATCTCTCTATGCCGCAATACCTGGACTTTTAAATTAACTCGTCCACCTTTTCCGAGTTGACGAAACTTTTTCAAAATTATTAAATCTCTCTTAAATAACCCAATAACCCATTACATTATGTATGATAAATTCGGTGATTAATAAATCATATTTTTATTTTAGAACATAGTACAGTATAACGTTTTAGAATGCGTGGCCATATATTTGCACTATTTGGGCCTAAGACTATTTTTTATCTTGTTTATGGCCCAGTCGCGAAAGGTAAAAATAAAATGCTTTATTTTGCGAAAAGCCATATATTAATTGGCTTACATTATCTTTGAAATCTCAATGGGCTTACACGTATATGGTAGGAAAATTTCAGCTGAAAGGTTTACACAACGAAAGGCTTCTTCTCGTGTTGGCCCATCTTCTCTTTTAACTCAATAGGTAAACCGGCATCGTTTTGGTTAGACACCAAAATCTCCTTTTGTTGAGAAAACAGAGTATATCTGCTCTGTTCCCTTTGATAAGTTGGTTATCAAAACATAAAGAATCTATACATCTACATATTAAGATATTAGATAAATTAATTTTCAAAATACAGCAGAAATTTTTTTACCTCAATTACTCAAAAGGGAAAATTCCCAAAAAAAACCCCAACTATTTAATATTTGCCAGAAAAAAACCTGAACTTTTTTCGTTGCCGGAAAAAAACCCAAACTAATTTACTGCTGACAAAAAAAACACGAACTATTTTTTGTTTCCAATTTACTCTCGTCTCCGTTACGGGCGTTAACGCCGTCAACGACGGCGTTACTAATTTTTGGGAAAATTCATGGAAAAAAACCCAAGTTATTTAATTTTGCCAGAAAACTACCCGAATTATTTGTTGGTTGCCAGAAAAATACACAGATCAACATTTTTCTTATCTTTTTGTCTTCCATCAACAATGTAAGGTGGTGAGAGCTAATAACTTTAGTGTTCTCTTCAATCTCATACAAGTTTTCAATTTTTACTATTATTTAGGACAATTAAATTTGAGAACAAAAATATACAATTAGATTAGTCGATTTTCAAATTTCTCAATTAGATTTATTTTTGGATCTATTTAGACTTTACAAATTGTGGAACATCATCAACAATGGAATTTTAAATTTCATAAGAGCCCCAAAAACCTTAGTAAATCTTCAAAAATTCTCTAGATAAAAAAAAAAAACTCAAATCAAGCAAATCCACCAAAATTGAGGCTAAAGCTAGCTTAATCAAACCAACTCCTCTAAAAAACACGACTAATCTAATTGTGTTCTTTGTTCTAGTCAGTAAATTGGGGAATCAACTAATGTAATTATGAGTTTTGTTCTAATTGGAAAATTGAAAAATCGATTAATCTAATAGTAGTGAGAACTTGTATGAGGTTCAAGAGAACACATAAAGTTATGAGGTCTAACCACCTTACATTGTTAATTAATGAAATAAAAGAAGAGGAGAAAAATGTTGATCTGTGTATTTTTCTGGCAACAAAAAAATAATTCAGGTATTTTTCTGGCAAAACTAAATAACTTAGTTTTTTTTAAGGAATTTTTCCAAAATTAGTAACGCCGTCGTTGACGGCGTTAACGCCCGTAACGGAGACGAGAGTAAATTGGAAACAAAAAATAGTTCGTGTTTTTTTTGTCAGCAGTAAATTAGTTTGGGTTTTTTTCCGGCAACGAAAAAAGTTCAGATTTTTTTCTGGCAAATATTAAATAGTTGGGGCTTTCTTTGGGAATTTTCCCTTACTCAAAAGCATCAATGTTTCTCCCTTTCATTTTAGTTGAAATTAACATTGTCATGTTGCAATATGTAATAGATTAGTA